TAGATATAGTAGGGGCCTACGTATAGGCCGTGTAGGGTAGGTTAGTCGAGTAGAACCACTGCTATGAACCTGTAGTGTACGGTAGATAGATACGGGATAAGGGCCTATGAGGGTAAAGTTTAAGAGTGCCGAGATAGGCCAACACCTCTTCCTATCGCAGGTGTAACTTTGTAAGTTCAAGAGTAGAAAGATAACCTTATAGCCTTATAATATTCGTCATTCATCTAGCTCATCATACAGAAATAAAAACCGAAATCACCTTTGTTTTGCAAGAGAGAAAAACTCCAAATAAACTGAGAAATATCGAGCAATCCTTTCCTTAGCCGGCCCAGCTGTACACAACTCATCACACGGAGACCTAGATCTAACAGCTAAACAACAGGCGTGTAGTCCAGAATTTCGTTCACACGCTGTCCGCCATGCTCGTGCTACACACAACAAAAATTTTAGCGTTCCGTTACTCCAGACACGCGGGGCCCTGGGGTAATCTACACGCCGGTAGGGAAGGGGGAGGGGGGGGGGGGGGGGGGTGGGGGTGGCACGAGACGATTGGTCTGTGTCTGTTATCGTCTGCTTGTATTGGCCCCGTTGCAGGCTCTGCCTTTTTTCCCCTCTGTTTAAATTGATATTACCGTAACTCTTCAGTTAAATGCACGTTGACAATAAGCATAGGGAGGGGGGGGGGGGAGGGGAATAAGGAGGAGGAAGGAAATGAACTGTCAACTAATACATTATTTTTATATTTAGATGAATGAGCCTTTAAAGTATTTACGTTATTCAGATGGCTCGCTACAAGCATCACCTACACAAAGAGTAGACTGCATTAGCCTTTCACAACTTGTTTACATGTAAAGCCTTCACGCACACTCTAAAAAAAATGGCACGAATCTGCACGGGTTACAAACAACGAACCACGGCTACGGTAAAGTTGAATGGATCAGACAATCAGCTCAAAACACGACAGCTCATGATCGTCTGCGTTAAATTGACGTCAGATTATAATTGATGGGGGGTAAAAAAATTGACTTGCGTTTAAATAGCTTTTAAAAAAAAAAAAAAAACAATCATTGTCAAACCTCCATGTTAAAAATGAAGACGTGTTTCGCTGAACATAAACGAAACAATGCCGTTATATAATGTTAGATGTATTTATTACGGGCGGATTTTAGGACTAATACGGCATTCACGAAAGCATAATTTTTTTTTTCTTTCCCTCAAGAACATTGGAAAGTACTTACGCTTTGAGCAGCTGGAAGTGGAAGGGGTGGGGTGGAGGGTAAACGGAAAAAAAGTCACAGGAAAAAAAAACACAGAAAAAAAGTCACAGTTTTTGCTAGGAAAAAAAATCACAGAAAAAAAGTCACAGTGGAAAAATTTTATCGGAAAAAAAGTCACAGAAATAAAGTCACAGAAATAAAGTCACAGAAAAAAAGTCACAAAAATCTTTTTAGAAATATTTTTATTAATTTGTTAAGAATTGTAAAATTTTGTATGTTTATTGTTGTGGGCTGTATTTTTTAATAGCATAAATTATTTATAGACGTTAAAAGTATTATGATTTATAACAATTGTAAGTAAAAATACTCTAAGATAACTAACACAACAATCTAGACTTTTGTTACGTATTTAGTTAATTACGCGGTAGAAAAGTTAATTATAAAAGAAATTTAGGCACATTTTGCCGTAGGCTATTCATTGGTTGGCCTCTCCTCAGTAGGCATTGTCCGAACATATTTTGTTTTGTTGACGTTATGCGTCAATGACAGCCTTTGAACCTTGTCGGCTTTCTGTTTTGATCCTAAGTTTTGTTATGTAATGAGCGTGATAAATGTGGGCAGTAAAGGTGGTTGAACTAAACATAACTATTGTTGCCATGAGTTGAGGGCAGCAAGTCAGATGAACTTACCATTTCACGGTAATTTAATGTTTGTATTTAAAAAAAACACGATAAAAAACGTAAACTTTGGAGCATTATATTAAATGCTACTAATCTTAAGTTTAAAATAATTACAATCTACATACTTCATAATAAATATTTTTAGATTAATAATAAAAATTACTATGCGTATACAGCCTACACACATTACATTACATTTAATTAATCCTAAGTTAATTTGCACTCTCTAAATATTTAATACATAAAAGTATTATCAAATATCATGCAAATATATATTTGTGACTTTTTTTCCTGTGACTTTTTTTCCTGTGACTTTTTTTCCTGTGACTTTTTTTCTGTGTTTTTTTTTCCTGTGTTTTTTTTTTCCTGTGACTTTTTTTCCTACAATCGGGGTGGAGGAGGGGGAGGAAGTGGAGATAAAGGTGAGGTAGGAAGATGAGGTAACGGGTGTGTGTGTTGGGGGGGGGGGGTGGTACGGAAGTTCCCTGTCCTGCTAACTTTGAAGCGGGAAGAGGCAGGAGGCTCAAAAGACGGCAGGAAGGAATTGTTAAACCAATTTGAAAAGATCGATGATTTTAAAATAAAATTCTTTGCCTGATCCGTTTAATTCTTGTATGGCATACATATATGTCAGCTAATCTAGATCATACCGAGAACAGGAATAGTAGATGTTGCGGATAGAAGTAGGCTAAGTCATAGTAACAAGAATAGTAATGTAGTAGTAGAACCATGGCTTGACTTGTCAAGTCAGGGGCGTAGACCTACTCTCCATTTAGCCGCATCTATAAATCTATAGTTATAACACCAGTGACAATGCCACCCAAGAAGGACCGAATGCCCCTATAGTATAGGGCCTATACCTCTATAGTTGGACCATGATTACATTGAAAACAACTTTAGTAGCGTATGTCTATAAACCATCTCGTAACACTGGACAATGGGGTGAAGGGTGAAGTCAGTTCTAACAAGCTACACAACCTAGACGTAAAGTTTATGACGTCGGCACGTTGCTTGAAATAATTAATTTCTGTAGTGCCAGATAACTAGAAGGAATGTTAAGTGAAAACTACCGGCACATGACGTAGTGGGAAGTGAAAACTACGGGCACATGACGTAGTGGGCTAACTATAGTATCCCTGGTGTAGGACAAGACATATGAACTTTAACAGCAAAGTTTTAGGTAGGAAATACGTTGTGTTTAGAATTATCATAAGCATTGGGCTAACTGTAGTATCCCTGGAGTATGACAGACACGTTTACTATCAGAACAAAGTTTTGGGTAGGAATGTGTTGTGTTTAGAATTACCATAAGCAGTGGGCTAACTGTAGTATCCCTGGCGTAGGACAGGACATAACTATCACAGCCAAATTTTAGGTAAGAATGTGTGATGATTAGGATTATTTATCCGCGAGAAATTTAACATTTTGAATCAATACACGCAAGTCAGCGTACACCAACTTATACAACAATAAGTAGTAAAATACATGTAGGCCTACTAAGTCTACAGATTTTTTTTTTAATGGCATATGGTTTAGAGCATTCTTTTGGGATTTAAAAGTTTACATTAATAAAACCATAACGTGTATTGATAATGTTTTTGATGAGTTTTGTTTGAAAAGTTATAAATAAATTTGAAATTTATTAAAATGAAAAGTAGTTTGAAGTCATCAGAGTATGCAGGTGATTCACAGTTTGTGGAAGGATAAGTTACCTGCATGTATGCTAATTCATGGATCTGACCACTTGAGGTGGACAGAAATAGAATTGTAAGGTTTAGTGTAAACCAATAGGTAATGGAAATTGGAGGTCGTTGACACGAAGTTAGAAGTGTCGTGTCCACAGACAGTTCAGACAGACAACATACAGTGAGTAAACACAGACAGAAAACAGACAACATACGGCGAGTAAACACAGACAGAAAACAGACAACATACGGTGAGTAAACACAGACAGAAAAAGACAATATACGGTGAGTAAACACAGACAGAAGACAGACAACATACAGTGAGTAAACACAGACAACAGACTGAAAGTACATACACATCACATATACATCACACATAGATACAGACAACAGACAGAATATATATATACACACACACACAAAAGACAGAAGGTATAAAACACACAGAACACATGAAGTACACACACTCAATACACAGGCATGAAGCATACAGTTAACACAGGAATTATATTCACACGACACACAGAAATTACAGACAAACCATACACAGACAACATAGAAATAACAAGCAGATAGTACACATATTACACACAGATAACGCACATAATGTACATGCAGACACAAAGCAGACAGTACACATAAATAACAGACACCAAGGAGAGAGTACATAGAGACATCAAGGAGAGAGCAAGCAGATAGGTGTTAATTTAGTAAACCAGAAGGTAGGGATACAGCTACCACAAGGTATTTAATGACTTATTAATGCCTTACAACATGGATGGTGCTAATTATCAACATTAACGGAGGCATGATTGCATGCCATAAAGTGATGTTAGGGTGAGGCAGTGAGGTAGGGAGGTAGAGTTTAGGCATCTAACCCACAAGACTTGTGTTAGCTGACAAAGCTGAAGCCCTTAATGTCCACCCAGCTCGTATTGGCATTGTACTTGAGGAAAGTAAAGGAGGTAGGGCATGGTCAAGTCTTTTACACAGGCCAGATCATGGGACAGGCGAAGTAGAGTCCATGTGTTTCTCTGACATTGGCATATCAAAGGATAGTGTGACCAGCGCTATGCCAATCTGCATTTCCTTGACGTATGTGATATTTAGGTACCAAACATAGATGCTCTACTGTTGCCTTTAGACTTTAGCCAGTAAATCAATCTCAAGACTTAGGAGATAGTGTGTACTCTAACCACCTGACCACACCACACCTAGCATTGTGTTCGGGAAAGTAAAGGTGGTGGGGCATGGTACTGAGCACATATTTCAAGAGATGATATTTTAAAAGAAAATTTAAAAAAAAAACATTAGTGAACTCTACTCCATCTGTCCTATTCACCGTTAGGTCCCAAATGACACAGAGCGTGTTAAACTAATTCAAGCATGTAGAGATGGTGTACTAGAGTTGTACTCACTTCCGAAATATCCATGCCTTTTTCTCGTATGTTGACTTGACCAATATCCACTTCAGCGGTAATCCGTTTTGAAGAAGGGGAAATAACTGCGTCAGATACTCCGTTATTGTTGTTGTTGCGAGCAGCAACAATAGAGTGTGGTAACACTTGGAATAAACACATGAGATACGTCATCACTGACTTCTTGTCTGGGGTATCTACATTCATGTCTGTGGAGGGTTGATCGACACCATCAGATAAAGGGAGACAAGCGATCATTTAGAATTATTTGAAAACAAAAACTAGCAAAGAAAAATGTATGGTTTACTGTAAAAAAAACTAACGGGAAAAAAATTTAAAACAAATAATACGATAGACAAATTAGATAACAACTTTCTAAGAAAATGGTAAAAGGATATTATTTAAAAATTATAAAAACGTATTTTTATAAACCGTTGTTTTTATTATACACGTTGGTTATGAGTAGAACAGGGGAGACTACTTTATTAATAAATCAGAATAATTATATTAACGGAGTTGTGTAACTTCATTGACAATAAAAGAAACAAATTGCAACTTTGTGAAAAAAAAACGTCTATGTTTTATTGCTCCAAAGTTACAACATTATAAAAGACAACATTAAATTAATCCTTCTTCAATGTTATGACTATAAAAAAGTAGTATGTTAATCCAAGTCTTAAGTTATAGAATGACATACCTTCTGCATCCAAGAGCTTGTCAATGCCCAGTTTATCACTGGCTATGTTAAAGGCATGGTTAAGATTGTGCAGGTTGTCTTTCCCTAGCAGATGCTTGTAGTTGAAGAGGTCAGGTCTTTAAAAAAGATAAGGTAATTATTTATTTCTTTAATTTGTGAAATGGGATATGGAGGTCTTGTGAAATAGATACAACATTATAGGCCTACACATGGGATAAAAATCAAAAGAATTTTTCTTTATCAATGTTAAATGGTATATAGAGTTAAAATATTACAACTCAAAAGAAACTAAAAGCCAGTGATCTTTTAGTTTGATTTATAAGTTCATTGGAATAACGTTAATGTTCAGTTTAATTTAAAAGTTCATTGGAATAACCTTGGATTAATGTTACATTTGATTTAGAAGTTCATTGGAATAACCGTAGATTGAAGCAAGTAGCTTTTATATTTTTTAAAATACAAAAACATCAACTAACCTGCAAACATAACTTTTATTGTAACCTTAATCGAACTCTGATCTCACACTTAGAATGTTTCAGTTAATTAATTAAAAAACCAATGTAATTAAAGCCAGGTAATAATCCGTTTACCTGTAGTGGTGGATCAGGGCATTAAAAGCCAGACCATCTTTCCAACTGGATGTGAAGTTTACAATATCAACCTTTTCGTACCTGGAAAGAATCAAGGTAAATTCTTTTCAAATTCATCCGCCAAATAGAAAAATATTTCACGCGAAAATAGAAATTTAGAAGTGCAGAAAACGAATGAATATAAACGCCTAAAAATTGTAAAAACACTATAATTTTTTTTAGCCACAGCATGAAAAAACATGTGGCCACATTTGATACCACGTGGTAAACACATGATGTGCCAGGTTGGGTTCCAGTAGAGCCATAATCATGTGCCAAACACTTTAAACATGCACGGTTCATCCCGTACAGGGCCAGATGCGAGTGACCTCCCCTTAGAACTTTAAATAGCTTCAACAGAGTTACCTAACTTGTCTCGTGCCAAACTATTTCCTTCACAAAAACGACGCTACATAAGACATATAAAAATTTTATGGCTCGATTTCCCCCTTTCTCCAACATTCTTAGACTAGCTAAAGAATTCAATATGTGCCTGGCTATGGAGTCTGGGTGCTAGTCTACTGGCATGTATTTTATCTGCTAGAGCAGGTATCACATCAAGAACCTGGGAGACCACAGCAAATAGCCTGGAAGTGGTGGGAGGGGGGGGGGGGTCGACACAGCAACAATAGAGAACTCAGAGTACGGCAGATAATGGGGGACCCTATCGAATATCCTGGAAAGGGGGGGGGGGGGGTAACATCAAGAATCCGGGGGGCCTTAGTAAAATCTAAGGATCCACATCACGATCCTGTGGGACCACCGTTAGAAATAGAAGGACCGCAGAACATAGGGACCACAAAAAGAATCGAACATCTACCTATTTACCTGCGGGTAGGGTGGTGGGTGGGATGGAAACAAATTGTTTAGTTTGATAGCTTTAACATGTGGGCGGGGGACTTAGAGCATTAACACACCTACAACATGGGAAGACATTTTTTGTTGCTGTGTTGGGGCACACATCAATGGTATACAATTGGTGTGCTGTGTTCGGATACACATACTCATGTGAGAAGAGTTAACACATATATATATATATATATACACACAAGTACCCACACACTCACCCTTGTGTATAAACTTCCCCCCACACAAGTACCCACACACTCACCCTTGTGTGGAGACTTGCCCCCCCCCCCCACACACAACTACCCACACACTAACCCTTGTGTAGGAACTCCCCCTCCGACACACATGTACCCACACACACCCTTGTGTGGAGACTCCCCCCCACACACGTACCCACACACTCACCCTTGTAAAGGCACTTCCCCCACACACACGTACCCACACACTCACCCTTGTGTAGGAACTCCCGCCCCCCCCCCACACACAACTACCCACACACTCACACTTGTGTAGGAGACCCCCCACCCCACACACAAGTACCCACATACTCACCCTTGTGTAGAGAGCTGCCATACACACACACATACAAGTACCCACACACTCACCAATGTGTAGAGAGCTGCCATAAACCCCCCCACACACAACTACCCACACACTCACCCTTGTGTAGGAACTCCCGCCCCCCACACACACAACTACCCACACACTCACACTTGTGTAGGAGACCCCCCCCCCCCCACAAACACGCACCCACACACTCACCCTTGTGTAGAGAGCTGCCATACACCCCCCCACACACAACAACCCACACACTCACCCTTGTGTAGAGAGCTGCCATACACCCCCACACACACAACTACCCACACACTCACACTTGTGTAGAAAGCTGCCATACACCCCCACACACACAACTACCCACACACTCACCCTTGTGTAGAAACTCCCCCCACACCCCCACACACTCACCCTTGTGTAGAAACTCCCCCCCACACAAGTACCTACACACTCACCCTTGTGTGGAGACTCCCCCCCCCCCACAAACACGTCCCCACACACTCACCCTTGTGTAGAGAGCTGGCACCAACTTAACAACGTCCTCTCCAGGTTGGTCTGACCCAGATCTTCCATGACGTTCTTCATGACATCCTTCACCTGCAACATACACAGGTAACGGTGGTCAACATACACAGGTAACGTGAAGGTCAACATACACAGGTAACGTGATGGTCAACATACACAGGTAACGGTGGTCAACATACACAGGTAACGGTGGTCAACATACACAGGTAACGTGATGGTCAACATACACAGGTAACCTAATGGTCAACATACACAGGTAACGGTGGTCAACATACACAGGTAACGGTGGTCAACATACACAGGTAACGGTGGTCAACATACACAGGTAACGGTGGTCAACATACACAGGTAACGGTGGTCAACATACACAGGTAACGGTGGTCAACATACACAGGTAACGTGATGGTCAACATACACAGGTAACCCGGTGCTCAACATACACAGGTAACGGTGGTCAACATACTGAGGTAACGGTGGTCAACATACACAGGTAACGGTGGTCAACATACACAGGTAACGTGAAGGTCAACATACACAGGTAACGGTGGTCAACATACACAGGTAACGTGAAGGTCAACATACACAGGTAACGGTGGTCAACATACACAGGTAACGGTGGTCAACATACACCGGTAACGTAAAGGTCAACATACACAGGTAACCCGGTGGTCAACATACACAGGTAACGGTGGTCAACATACACAGGTAACGGTGGTCAACATACACCGGTAACGTGAAGGTCAACATACACAGGTAACGGTGGTCAACATACACAGGTAACGGTGGTCAACATACACAGGTAACGGTGGTCAACATACACAGGTAACCCGGTAGTCAACATACACAGGTAACCCGGTGGTCAACATACACAGGTAACGGTGGTCAACATACACAGGTAACGTGAAGGTCAACATACACAGGTAACGGTGGTCAACATACACAGGTAATGGTGGTCAACATACACCGGTAACGTGAAGGTCAACATACACAGGTAACGGTGGTCAACATACACAGGTAACGGTGGTCAACATACACAGGTAACGGTGGTCAACATACACCGGTAACGTGAAGGTCAACATACACAGGTAACGGTGGTCAACATACACAGGTAACGGTGGTCAACATACACAGGTAACGGTGGTCAACATACACAGGTAACGGTGGTCAACATACACAGGTAACGTGAAGGTCAACATACACAGGTAACGGTGGTCAACATACACAGGTAACGGTGGTCAACATACACAGGTAACGGTGGTCAACATACACAGGTAACGGTGGTCAACATACTGAGGAAAACGTGAAGGTCAACATACACAGGTAACGGTGGTCAACATACACAGGTAACGTGAAGGTCAACATACACAGGTAACGTGAAGGTCAACATACACAGGTAACGGTGGTCAACATACACAGGTAACGGTGGTCAACATACACAGGTAACGTGAAGGTCAACATACACAGGTAACGGTGGTCAACATACACAGGTAACGGTGGTCAACATACACAGGTAACGGTGGTCAACATACACAGGTAACGGTGGTCAACATACACAGGTAACGGTGGTCAACATACACAGGTAACGGTGGTCAACATACACAGGTAACGGTGGTCAACATACACAGGTAACGGTGGTCAACATACACAGGTAACGGTGGTCAACATACACAGGTAACGGTGGTCAACATACACAGGTAACGGTGGTCAACATACACAGGTAACGGTGGTCAACATACACAGGTAACGGTGGTCAACATACACAGGTAACGGTGGTCAACATACACAGGTAACGGTGGTCAACATACTGAGGAAAACGTGAAGGTCAACATACACAGGTAACGGTGGTCAACATACACAGGTAACGGTGGTCAACATACACAGGTAACGTGAAGGTCAACATACACAGGTAACGTGAAGGTCAACATACACAGGTAACGGTGGTCAACATACACAGGTAACGGTGGTCAACATACACAGGTAACGTGAAGGTCAACATACACAGGTAACGGTGGTCAACATACACAGGTAACGGTGGTCAACATACACAGGTAACGGTGGTCAACATACACAGGTAACGTGAAGGTCAACATACACAGGTAACGGTGGTCAACATACACAGGTAACGGTGGTCAACATACACAGGTAACGGTGGTCAACATACACAGGTAACGGTGGTCAACATACACCGGTAACGTGAAGGTCAACATACACAGGTAACGGTGGTCAACATACACAGGTAACGGTGGTCAACATACACAGGTAACGGTGGTCAACATACACAGGTAACGGTGGTCAACATACACAGGTAACGGTGGTCAACATACACAGGTAACGGTGGTCAACATACTGAGGTAACGGTGGTCAACATACACAGGTAACGTGAAGGTCAACATACACAGGTAACGTGAAGGTCAACATACACAGGTAACGGTGGTCAACATACACAGGTAACGGTGGTCAACATACACAGGTAACGTGAAGGTCAACATACACAGGTAACGGTGGTCAACATACACAGGTAACGGTGGTCAACATACACAGGTAACGGTGGTCAACATACACAGGTAACGGTGGTCAACATACACAGGTAACGGTGGTCAACATACACAGGTAACGGTGGTCAACATACACAGGTAACGGTGGTCAACATACACAGGTAACGGTGGTCAACATACACAGGTAACGGTGGTCAACATACTGAGGAAAACGTGAAGGTCAACATACACAGGTAACGGTGGTCAACATACACAGGTAACGGTGGTCAACATACACAGGTAACGTGAAGGTCAACATACACAGGTAACGTGAAGGTCAACATACACAGGTAACGGTGGTCAACATACACAGGTAACGGTGGTCAACATACACAGGTAACGGTGGTCAACATACACAGGTAACGGTGGTCAACATACACAGGTAACGGTGGTCAACATACACAGGTAACGGTGGTCAACATACACAGGTAACGGTGGTCAACATACACAGGTAACGGTGGTCAACATACACAGGTAACGTGGAGGTCAGCATACACAGGTAACCCGGTGGTCAACATACATCTGGACACTTGCTTGACCGACATATTTATCAATAGGTCTTCCGTTCTAATTATTTAGCGCAATTTCCTTACAGGAATTGCGATTATTAACTCGTCGTTTCTGGATGGATGGATGGATGGATGTGTGTCCGCAGCTTTAAGTCGTATCTCCTCCTCAACGAAGCAATATCGAGGACTAGTTCCAAAAGCAAATATGTTAAGCAAGTTCCAAGGATGATTGTGGGCCAAAAAAATTCCCGGGTTTCCTTCCTGGATTTCCCGGAAAAGCCAAAACAACTCGACAAAATGCAGTTTTTGGCCCATATCTTGGCAACCAGACCACTTAGCGACTTGAAACATTTACCAATCGATTCCTGCCATAATTTAGAACAATATTGCCGAAGAAAGTTTTCAAAAATATCCTTTCGTTCGGTCACAAAAAAATATTTACTACTTTTTTAAACTGAGCATCGTGTAGGCCTAGGATGATATTTTCTACTTTTTTTTTAAACTGAGCATCGTGTAGGCCTACTCGTTAAAATAAAACTATTTCTGTTGATATAGGTTAATATAGTTGTCTTTTTTTTTAGCGCAAATAACATAAGGAAATTGCGCTTAAATTGTCACTAGACTTTTTATTAACTTGTTTTTTAAATTAGAAAGGAGTTAATTTGTACATCAAGTATGAACACCACGTAAACTATTCACACTAAAGTGTGAACAAAACGTAGATATTTAACACAAATGTGCAGCTTGTGTTATAAATACAGTTGCATGAAGTACACATGTCTACTGGGATTGATTTCTATATTTATAAACTGGGGGAATATAATCTTTTGCAGAATTGGAGGGAGAGAGAGAGAGAGAGAGAGAGAGAGAGAGAGAGAGAGAGAGAGAGAGAGAGAGAGAGAGAGAATAAAAGTAAAGACAACTCAAGAAAAGACACCGGAAGTCGTCTTGTAAATAAGCCGAAGGAAGGCAGGATCGGATTTACCCAGTGCAATTTTTAGAGACAGCGATCTAATGTGGCATGATCACGTGAGACTCAAGCCTAGGTTGTACATCATCTAGTCTACTACTACATTCGCTGCTTTACCGAATGAAAAAAACATAATAAAAGAAAGAAGTCAGGTCTAGTGTATGTTTGTGTGTGTGGGGGGGGGGGGGAGGTGGGGATCTGGTTACAAATACGTAAGACCCAGGTGATATTTGACTCCTTCATTACCACCTTGTGGTAGATCAGATTTTCGGTAACACGCGATTGTAAACATGATTAAGATATTATGATTAAGTTTGCATGATTAAGGTGGTATTTTCAGGATCGTGTATTGTACGTCTGGAAATTTCCCAATAAATTCTCTTCAGCTATGTGGAAATCTGTGATGTGAAGTTGTGTGCGACTCTCTACTACCAAATATTGTTATGTGTATGTGTGTGTGTGTGTGGGGGGGGTATTTGATTTAGGGAAGGTTTTGGGGGAATGTATGGTACAATGTTAGAGGGATGATCAGTTTTATGAATGGAGTGAATTCTTCATTCAACATGTTAGAAGATTTATTTTTGCAATGGCTATCTTTTTTGTTCACTAAGTTAGCAGGTAGATCAAATGTCACAACTAAAGTGTAGATCAAATGTCACAACTAAAGTGTAGATCAAATGTCACAACTAAAGTGTAGATCAAATGTCACAACTAAAGTGTAGATCAAATGTCACACTTTAAAGTGTAGATCAAATGTCACAACTAAAGTGTAGATCAAATGTCACAACTAAAGTGTAGATCAAATGTCACACTTTAAAGTGTAGATCAAATGTCACAACTAAAAGTGTAGATCAAATGTCACAACTAAAGTGACATCAAATGTCATCCACCCACCTGCCAGTGTAAAATGATACTCCACACAAGTCCCAATGTCAACTTTGGGTTGCCGTCTGCTATATCATTGCTGCTGATGTTGACAAGCTTGATCTGAAATTTTAAAAATTAATTCATTAATTAATTTAAAAAATCAATTAATTAATTTCAAATGTTAGCTAATTTAACATCCATTTTTGGTTTACTACAGTTACACATTACAACAATAGCAAGGTGTGGAGCGAACTGGTCGATCAGTTAGCGCCGTCACATATCGACCGGTACAACATTAAACATACGGGGTTCGAACCCAGCTTAGCGGTCATGTCAAGTCACTGACAGCCAGCTCGTGTAGGTGTGAAGCAACTTCCAATGGTCCACCCTCTACCAAACATTTCACACAGTATATTAAAGACAGACCAAACACACCCCCCAACTGTTTATATTCAAACAACTGTCATGTATTAAAGACACACACACACGGTCTGTATTCACACACATTTGGACGAACGAATGCATCAAACCACACACTCGCTACACACATGTACACACCACTAGAGGCAAACAACTAGCCACTAAAATACAAAGGTTATCAAGAAAATTATTTATATTCGAGAATAACCACACGGACTGGAGCAAAAAACCTAAATATATCCTACGACAGTATCCACACAGCTGTCAGTGTACGAAAAGCAGGTTGTTATCCAGTGTACGAAAAGCAGGTTGTTATCCAGTGTACGAAAAGCAGGTTGTTATCCAGTGTACGAAAAGCAGGTTGTTATCCAGTGTACGAAAAGCAGGTTGTTATCCAATGTACGAAAAGCAGGCTGTTATCCAGTGTACGAAAACCAGATGGTTGCTATCCATCACCAAAATCATTTAGGTTGTTATCCATTCTTGTGCTATCATTAGGTTGTTATAATATCCAGTGTAAGAAAATCAGTTGGGTTGTAATCCAGTCTTAGGAAACCATTAGATTATTATCCAGCCTTAGAATAGCACAACAGCCGAGCACTAGATGTAATGTTATCCAGCCCTAGAATAGCACAACAGCATAGCACTAGATGGATTGTTATCCAGCCTTAGAGTAGCACAACAGCATAGCACTAGATGGATTGTTATCCAGCCTTAGAATAGCACAAAAGCATAGCACTAGATGTAATGTTATCCAGCCCTAGAATAGCACAACAGCATAGCACTAGATGGATTGTTATCCAGCCTTAGAGTAGCACAACAGCATAGCACTACATGGATTGTTATCCAGCCTTAGAATAGCACAACAGCATAGCACTAGTTGGATTGTTATCCAGCCTTAGAATAGCACAATAGCATAGCACTAGATGGATTGTTATCCAGCCTTACAATAGCACAACAGCGGAGCACTAGATGGATTGTTATCCAGCCTTAAAATAGCACAGCCGAGCGCTATATGGATTGTTATCCAGCCTTAGAATAGCACAACATCCGAGCACTAGAATGATTGTTATCCAGCCTTAGAATACCACAACAGCCGAGCACTAGATGGATTGTTATCCAGCCTTAGAATAACACAACAGCCGAGCCCTAGATGAAATGTCTCACCCAGCTAACCACCAACATGACAGGATTTGAACCAGACAACCTGCTCAAACGTTAAGACGTTGTCGACACAACCACCTGACTCGTTTTCATAAACCACACACACACACCAGGCTAAACAGACACTTGTATCATAAGGATAAATACCCACTTGTATCATGAGGATAAGTATCCTCTTGTATTATGAGGATAACTATCCTTTTGTATCATGAGGATAACTATCCTCTTGTATCATTAGGTTGAACGACTTCTATCATGGCTTACGTAACACCTGTATATATGGGTTAAACAACTTGTATCTTCGTGCGAACCTCTTGTATAATAAGGCTAACCATCCAATTGTATAAAAACGTTACACCCATTGTATCCTGATGTTATAAGGCTAACCAAGCACTTGTATCACACCAACCAACTACCTGTATCACGAGACCAACTACCTGTATCACGAGACCAACTACCTGTATCATGAGACCAACTACCTGTATCACACCAACCAACTACCTTTATCACGAGACCAACTACCTGTATCAAACCAACCAACTACCTGTATCATGAGATCAACTACCTGTATCATGAGACCAACTACCTGTATCATGAGACCAACTACCTGTATCACAATACCAACTACCTGTATCACACCAACCAACTACCTGTATCACGAGACCAACTACCTGTATCCCTACTTAACCCGCTCACTACACCTACATTCTAGCCCATGTCCTACTTAACTTTTGACCTAATTCTGCACCATCACAGCGTGAAACAAAATCTGTTGTCTCAAGTTTGTAAATATTGTACCCACTTGATCTACCCATCTCCCAGAGTTCACTAGGCAGGTAACACCCACACAAACAAACCTGTACCTGCCCATTCTAGCTTTACCTACCCAACACTACCTGTATCTGAATAGTCTGGCTGTAAGTACTCAACACTATCTGCCTAACTCTAATTTTACCTGCCCAACACTACCTGTACCGACCCAACGCTACCTTTACCGACCCAACACTACCTGTACCGACCCAACACTACCTGTACCGACCCAACACTACCTGTACCGACCCAACACTACCTTTACCGACCCAACACTACCTGTACCGACCCAACACTACCTGTACCGACCCAACACTACCAGTACCGACCCAACACTACCTTTACCGACCCAACACTACCTATACCGACCCAACACTACCTCTACCGACCCAACACTACCTGTACTGACCCAACACTACCTGTACCGAGTACCGACCCAACACTACCTTTACCGACCCAACACTACCTCTACCGACCCAACACTACATGTACCGACCCAACACTACCTTTACCGACCCAACACTACCTGTACCAACCCAACACTACCTGTACCGACCCAACACTACCTGTACCGAGTACCGACCCAACACTACCTGTACCAACCCAACACTAACTGTACCGACCCAACACTACCTTTACCGACCCAACACTACCTGTACCGAGTACCAACCCAACACTACCTGTACCGACCCAACACTACCTGTACCGACCCAACACTACCTTCACCGACCCAACACTACCTGTACCGACCCAACACTACCTGTACCGACCCAACACTACCTTTACCGACCCAACACTACCTGTACCGAGTACCAACCTAACACTACATGTACCGACCCAACACTACCTGTACTGACCCAACACTACCTGTACCGAGTACCGACCCAACACTACCTTTACCGACCCAACACTACCTTTACCGACCCAACACTACCTGTACCGACCCAACACTACCTGTACCGACCCAACACTACCTTTACTGACCCAACACTACCTTTACCGACCCAACACTACCTGTACCGAGTACCAACCTAACACTACATGTACCGACCCAACACTACCTGTACTGACCCAACACTACCTGTACCGAGTACCGACCCAACACTACCTTTACCGACCCAACACTACCTTTACCGACCCAACACTACCGTTACCGACCCAACACTACCTGTACCGACCCAACACTACCTCTACCGACCCAACACTACCTTTACCGACCCAACACTACCTTTACCGACCCAACACTAACTGTACCGACCCAACACTATCTTTACCGACCCAACACTAACTGTACCGAGTACCAACCCAACACTACCTGTACCGACCCAACACTACCTTTACCGACCCAACACTACCTGTACCGAGTACCAACCCAACACTACCTGTACCGACCCAACACTACCTTTACCGACCCAACACTACCTGTACCGACCCAACACTACCTTTACCAACCCAACACTACCTGTACCAACCCAACACTACCTGTACCGACCCAACACTACCTGTACCGACCCAACACTACCTGTACCGACCCAACACTACCTGTACCGACCCAACACTACCTGTACCGACCCAACACTACCAGTACCGACCCAACACTACCTGTACCGACCCAACACTACCTGTACCGACCCAACACTAACTGTACCGACCCAACACTACCTTTACCGACCCAACACTACCTTCACCGACCCAACACTACCTGTACCGACCCAACACTACCTGTACCGACCCAACACTACCAGTACCGACCCAACACTACCTGTACCGACCCAACACTACCTGTACCGACCCAACACTACCTGTACTGACCCAACACTACCTTCACCGACCCAACACTACCTGTACCGACCCAACACTACCTGTACTGACCCAACACTACCTGTACCGAGTACCGACCCAACACTACCTGTACCGACCCAACACTACCTTTACCGACCCAACACTACCTTTACCGAGTACCGACCCAACACTACCTGTACCGACCCAACACTACCTGTACCGAGTACCGACCCAACACTACCTGTACCGACCCAACACTACCTTTACCGACCCAACACTACCTTTACCGAGTACCGACCCAACACTACCTGTACCGACCCAACACTACCTGTACCGACCCAACACTACCTTTACCGACCCAACACTACCTGTACCGACCCAACACTACCTCTACCGACCCAACACTACCTTTACCGACCCAACACTACCTTTACCGACCCAACACTAACTGTACCGACCCAACACTACCTTTACCGACCCAACACTACCTGTACCGAGTACCAACCCAACACTACCTGTACCGACCCAACACTACCTTTACCGACCCAACACTACCTGTACCGACCCAACACTACCTGTACCGACCCAACACTACCTGTACCGACCCAACACTACCTGTACCGACCCAACACTACCTTTACCGACCCAACACTACCTGTACCGACCCAACACTACCTGTACCGACCCAACACTACCTGTACCGACCCAACACTACCTGTACCGACCCAACACTACCTTTACCGACCCAACACTACCTTCACCGACCCAACACTACCTGTACCGACCCAACACTACCTGTACCGACCCAACACTACCTTTACCGACCCAACACTACCTGTACCGAGTACCAACCTAACACTACATGTACCGACCCAACACTACCTGTACTGACCCAACACTACCTGTACCGAGTACCGACCCAACACTACCTTTACCGACCCAAC